CAGATGGTCTCCTCCTGAGCATCCTGAAGGCCGTTGCACCAGTTATCACCTTCTCCCTCACCCTAATATTTAATACCTCTTTGTGCACTGCTGTGTTCCCGACACAATTCAAGTTGGCTAATGTCACGCCGATATTGAAATCCCGTATGGGCGATCCTACTTCTCCTTCAAACTATCGTCCTGTGTCACTCACGTCGATTCTGGCTAAGACTCTGGAACGCCTGGTTCTAAATCAGGTATGTGACAGTTTGACCATCGAAAATCACCTCCACGATCACCAATTTGGGTTCCGACCAGCTCGCACGACACAACTGCTCACACTTGCTGTAAATGATTGGAAACTGGCCCAGGACCGCGGAGAGACTACCAGTGTAGCCTTTGTCGACCTCAGCAAGGCGTTTGATCGCGTCCAGCATCAACAGTTACTCATTGCGCTCCATGGCATGGGTGTTCATGCAAGCGCCCTGCGTTGGTTTGCGTCGTACCTCGCCGGGAGATCTCAGCGTGTCGTCACGCAAGCCAGCCAGTCTTCAAGTCTTGCAGTGTCTCGAGGAGTTCCTCAGGGAAGTATTTTAGGCCCTACCCTCTTTAATGTCTACCTGAGGGACCTTCCCCGGCTTGCGGAGACAGCGGGTTCAAAATTACTGATGTTCGCAGATGACAAGACAGTCTACTCTAGTGATCCGTCGAAGGCGCGTTCCGAAGCCAAGTTGTCATCGGCACTGGAGATACTAAACAACCACCTTGGCTCCATTGGTATGCAGATAAATACCGACAAAACCGTTGTCATGCAAATCCATCCCAAACGTGCCACAGGGAGTCGTCAGCAACAACAACAAAGGCAACAACTGCAAATCACCTTGTCAAATGTTACGCTAGGGGAAGTGGAAAGCACTAGATGCTTAGGAGTCGTTGTTGACAATAAGCTGTCCTTTGACCAACACATTAACAAAGTCGTCCGGAAAGCCTCACGGAAGATCGGTGTACTGCGTCGATCTTTCCGCCAGATGAACCTGTTTGCCCGCCGTACTTTCGTTGTCGGTGTTATTCAGCCTGATCTAGAATATGCTCTCCCTGTATACCTTTCGTTTATATCCGCTAAAAATAGAAACAAGCTAGCCTCACTCCACCGGCGCGCTGTACGAGTTGCTTGTGGCGCATCACCCCAAGCCAATATCACGCCACTTCTTCACCACCTCAATGTTTCCTCTTTCCAATATCGATCAGTATTTTTGTTCCTTGTATTCATTTTCCACTGTTACTGTATTAAGCCGGCTGTTTGCTTGCAGTCCCTCTTTCCCATCTGTACGTCTACCCGAACTACTCGCGGCTCTACAACTCATAACATGAGTATCAATCGCTATAGATCTATGTCTGGCTTTCTGTCCTTTTCAAGTAAATCGGCTCTTGTTTGGAATTATTTACCAGACGACCTGAAGTCCTGCACTACCATCGCAGATTTCCGCGTCAAATTGGCTATTTGGCTAAAAGACAGCTTAACTCTTAATCATTGTTGTGATTTGCTTTCAAGCAATGTGCATAATCAGTAACTTGATGTTGCTGTTTTTGTTTTGTTTTTTTGTTGTCTTTTTGGTTTCCCGTTCTCGGGGCCTTCTATTCGGTACTCTTTGTAGTTGTACTTCTGTACTGTTGAGCTATCCGAATTCAAATAAACATTTAAAAAAAAAGAAATCTGAGTCCAAACTTATTATTTGGTGCACATTTAGCGCTACATGGTTTATAATTGCGCCAGGTTAAAGGGACAAGCCCTACTTTTTTTGCGAATTTTCTGTTCTTTCCGGAAACGAGAGAGCTTGGAAGCTCAGGGCCCTACGCAATGCTTTTTTGTCTTGATGACCAAGACAAAAAAAAGCATAGGGATGTTATAAATTCTTTAAAAAATTCCTTTTTTTAAGACATAACCTGGGATTCGAACCCGCACTATCGCGCGCCCTGCATGCATCCTCCGATACACTTCGCATACATACTAATTCTTCCAAGTTGTTTCACATTGTGATCCTGCATTTGAAAGCCCTATTTGAATATGCATTGTGGCCAGCCGTCTTTGATGGCACGGTACGGTAGGGGATAGGTACGGGACAGGTACGATCGAGGGTAATACGACACCGTCTCCCGTACCGTACCGTACCATCAAACACAGCTGGCCACATACAGCTGCCCGCAATATTCTTAATAGGGCTTTCAAACGCAAGACAATAACGTGAAGCAACTTGGAAGAATGGGTATGAATGCGAAGTGTATGGGGGAATGCATGTAGGGCGATAGTGCTGGTTCGAATCCCAGGATATGCCTGAAAAAAATAGGAGAATTGAACAATTTATAACATCCCTATGCTTTTTTTGCCGTCAGATACGGATAGCGCCAGGCGTGACACAAACAAACAAACAAACAAACACACAAATATCAAATTAAAGCTATGTGGACCCTGGCTAGTGCCAGACGTTACTGAAGTAACGTCTTCTGCATAGCTACGGGAATAAAAGTATATTGTGGCCAGCTGTCTTTGATGGTACGGTACGGGACAGGTACGGGACAGGTATGGGATAGCACCAGGCATGACGATGCTGTACTTGATGGTACGGTACGGGACAGGTATGGGATAGCACCAGGCATGACGATGCTGTACTTGATGGTATGGTACGGGCCAGATACGGGACAGGAACGGGATAGCGCCAGGCATGCCGATGGCACAAATAAAACAAACAAATAAACACCAAATTAAAGCTGTGTGGACCTTGGCTCGCGCCAGACGTTAGGCCTCGGTCACACTACGGCAGTTTGAAGCTGGACGCAGCGTCAAGCCGCAGCACTAGACGGAGACGCGGGGTCACACAGTGTTTTTTTTTTTTTTTGCAGCTCATGACTGCCGCGGCTTGACGCATTTGTCTACGTCACAAAACCACCAGGAAAACTCAATGACGACACGGATTCCCACGGAAACCGGCCTTTTGCTTATTATACAAAAAAATTGTCGGACAAAGTTTTCGAATTTTTCATTGATTTTTGATTACAAGAAGACGAAAGGTAGGTCCACGCGTGCACGATCGTTGTTGTTTCTTTCCAAATTTGAAGCCATTTTCAGTTGTAGTGTCATTGATCAGGCAAGAAAAGTCCGCATCGCAGCTGTGTTTCTCCTGACTTCGTCATACTGGTTGTCCTTTTTGGGGCTCTTGACGGCAACACAACACTCACAAGTCGACAGGCTCCAGTTGGTCGATGACCCACTCAAACAACTGGTCCTTTCTCGACATCATTTTCTTCTCAGAAAACGCCTCGCTCTTCCGCCAGGTTCGGAGCAGAGCAGCCTCGGCCTCGTAGGTCCACGGACTCATCTCGAACAAAAAGAGGGAACAAAACAAGCCTTGAACAGACGAATGTCGAATAACTGCTAAACTCAAGCAAAGTGTCTTGAAACTAATTTTACTTGAAAGACACTGTTTTTCCGCCAAGCGTCACTCCCATCAGCGGCAACGCAGCCGACTTCCCCACGTCAGACGCAGCAGCATCTGACGCTCAAATTTCCCGCGTTGCGTCAGTTGCCATGGAAAAGCTCATGATTCTGACGCTGACGCAGCATTTTTGCCGTAGTGTGACCGAGGCCTAATTGAAGTAACGTCTTCTGCATAGCTACAGGAATTAATATCAATCATTGGCTCTGAACCTGAGTCTAGTGTCATTATTGTGCTGATTAGCTTCTTGTGTTCTAGAAAGGTACACTTTACAAAACATTTTTATGATTATTGTCCTGCTCAATGGTGTAGTTGGTTCGTTTCCAATTCTAGATCAGATAAAAAGACGTACGTTGTAGATAGGGAGCTTGCCTTTCTCCCAAGCCCCCCGACCAGCCCATGTTCGACCCACTTGTCTCTCTCTCTCGTCCGTCTCGACATGCATAACTACCAGCTGGAGACAGGGCTACCTGTCAATAGCCGGGAAAGTTGCGGTAGAGCTTTCCCCGCCTGTGCTGTCCCTGTATGGAATGCCCTGCCACCCGCCGTCCTCAACCAGCCACCTGACCGGAAACGGCTGCAAAGTTTCAAAGTGTCTGCCTTCCGGCACCTCCGTGCCCAGCAATGGCACTGGGCCACTGACACTTTGTAATATGTATGCACATCTGCCCACACACTGCTGCATATTGCCATACACCTCGTGCCCTGCTTACTCTTTTCTTTCGATCTGAATGTGCACCCCTTACGCATTATATAATTATACTTTATTTAGTTTTCTTCCCATCACTTGCTCCCAACCCTCCCCGCTCTCCCTCTCTCTCTATCTCTCTCTCTATCTCTCTCTCTCTCTCTCTCTCTCATTCTTTATTTTTATACTTTATTTAGTTCTCTCCCCCTCTCTTGCTCCCCAACCCTCCCCACTCTATCTGTCTCTCTGTCTCTCTCTCTCTGTCTCTTTCTTTCTCTCTCTCTATATATATATATATCTATCTATCTCTCTCTCTCTCTCTCTCTCTCTCTCTCTCTCTCTCTCTCTCTCTCTCTCTCTCTCTCTCTCTCTCTCTCTCTCTCTCTCTCTCTCTCTCTCTCTCTCTGTGTTTCTCTCTCTGTCTCTGTCTGTCTGTCTGTCTGTCTCTGTCTCTCTCTCTCTCTCTCTGTCTCTCTGTCTCTCTCTCTCTCTCCCTCCCTCCCTCTCTTTCTCTCTCTGCTATTGGCGCGCCTGGTTGTGATGAAGCCGAGACCCAAGGTCGGCAGAGAATCCCAGACCACGCCACCACTCCCCTTATTCATGGCTCACACATGACGGGTTTACGTGGCTCTAGTAAAAAAAATAATAATAAAAAATAAAAAATAAAAAAAGATAAGGAGCTTGCCACAATGGATAATGAGAGATTGGGAATGCTTCATGATGTCATTACTGACAATGCCCTGAAGTTTTTTATGTCTAGTGTATTTCAACTGCATTTATCTGCATAGTAGTGCAGTTATCCTATTCAGCACTTTTCTGCTTGTCTCTTTCTCGCTTTCCAGGAAATTGCAAAACAATCTTCTTACCAAGGTCCCGAGGGGAATTTTTAGTGCGTACACAATAACTAAATTTGGCACGAACAT